CTGCTAGAGGAAGTTCTGCTCATTTTATTTGAGCAGGACTCAGCATGAAACAACTTCAGGGCTAAAATAAGAGCAGACAACAAAATTGCTGTTATCCAGAATTTTGATCTTCAAGTGTCAAGATGATTATGGTTTTGCTTGGGTAAGAGAAGCTTAGTGAAATGCTGTAGAGAGAGGTGTAAAAACACAGGAGCAGGTAATGCTGAACGTAGTGAAACGGCAGAAACTGAGCGGAGGGTGCCCCGTAGGTGTGCTGAGTCATCTGCCTGAAACTGTCGTGACTGACTGGACTGCTGCTGCGAAAGATCAGTGCGAGCTTGTGCGTGACCAAGCGGCACATGATACGTCTGTGCTCACACACGTTAGGTCCAAATAATGTGGTTGTGAGGAAAGTCGGAATAGACTTGGTGCCTGTAACGAAGGACTCGGAGAGTGCAATTAATTTAAAAGGAGTTGAATTTTAACTGAAAGCAGAAGAGACTTTTCCTGTATGTCATCATGTGTGAAACTTGCTGCCAGCAGATACTGGTGCAAAGTATTCTGCATTTTAAAGCACCTTCTTCTTTGAATCTGCAAAGCTTTCTAGCAACATGTGGAAGGCTCTGGTCATCACGGATGTAACACGGCTTGGACAGGAGACTGGTTACCTCTCTACGTCGTCATGTGGCGGAGTAAGGAATGTGATAAAGCATGGAGCAGTTGTCCTGGTGGTTTATGGAATGATCCAGTCTTTCTCTGAAGCACTGGCAGGGTCCCAGAGGAGACGGGTCACTGCTCTGATTACAGTGTGACATTTCCAGTCTGGATTGAAGGACGGAATTTCAAGGATTTCTTGGGAGGAGGTGGGGGAGGGTCCAGAAGAGACAAGAATTTTTTTTTAGGTTATTCTAGCTGTGGGTAAAAGCAGCTTATGCAAGGCTGAGCAGGAGGCACAGACTTGCATACAGGTATTTTATATGTTCAGATGCAGAAATAAGGAAGGAAAAAACAACCTGTGCGTGTGTACATGCGCGCGTGTGTATGTGTGTATATAGTTAAAGTGTTGGAAGCTAACCAGTGTGAGATACGTAGCAAATTGAGAGGGTTGGTTAAAAATAGCATAATACTATGGGGAGGGAAATTTTATTTAAGTGGACATGTCATTTATAAATATTTGCGTTCTTTGCATTTTGCTCACCTGTGGCATAATGCTGGAGAGAAACCTTTGGAGGAAAAAGTTAGTGTTGTACCATGAAAGGCTGAATATGCTTTTTCTACTTTACCTGTACAAGGAAGTGTTCTCTTTAGTGGTGATGGTTAGCTATGATCACGGAACTATCTTGTTTCCATCATTTTATTGCCGTTTGTAATCTCTCCTGTTTAAAGTAGCTCTTTGAAATTTGAGAATATTTTGTTTCCAGTTATTTCCAAGGTCATAGCAAGTCACAAACCTTCCAAGAAGAAGCACATCTTTCCCAGCTTCGCTTCTTATGTATATACCCCATATGTATGCTTTATGCCTGGAAGAGATCTAGATTGTATCTCAGCACTTGACTCTGAAGGTTGCAGATCCAGCAGGAAAACTGGACCATACATGTGGAAAGCTGTGGGAGCTGCAGCCGTGCTTGGTTTAGTGCTAGCCCGGGTGCCTGCAGCACGTGAACCGTCCATCCTTGTGACACCATTCCCAGCTTACACGGGACCGGAGGAATTCTGTTCTGTGCTGATCTGCTTGGGAGATTTATTTACAGAGCAGTGTTTGTTGCTCCAATAGTTTTGCTTTTCTCCTGTGGGTAACAAGTTGGCTGGATCAAGCCAGTTAGCCATCTGTTCCAGCAGTTACTGTGCTGAAATAGATCATTTCCTGAGGTTTCTCCCAGCCGTATTTTCTATTGTCAGTGCTGTCTGTAGCCTTCCTCTGGCATTTAGACACCGGTACGTGTCCACAGGCACTGCAGAGTGATGAAATGAAGAGGTGAAGTCTGTCACTGGTGAGGGAGCTGTCATCCACTGGTGAACTATATGCCTCTGTATTGGTTACAGATCCAGTCAGAGGTGTGGGGTTTCCGTTCACGGGTGATGTGCCCTTCTGTTGTGGCAGTTCGGTGCCAGGCTTGGGCTCATTAGGACCCTTCTGAGAGCTGTGATTGTGTGCGAGCTTTGCTTTCTGCTGTTCTCCAGCCTTTGGAGACCTGCCCTGGTAAGGGATCAGGGATGCTGCTAATTGCTCCCTCCCTCCCCAGACTGCCCAAACTTCTCTTTCAGCAGTTGAGATTGTAAATAAATATGACCTGTTTTGTTATGCCAGTTGTCTGGAATGGCAAGAGGTACAGTTAGGAACAACACGGCACTGGTTTTTTAAAGTTTTTTTAATTAGTTAACTCTTGTTAAAGCTGTGTTCATTTTTGTTGGTTTTTTTTCAGTTCACAGCCTGAGATGGTGACGTCTCCATGACCACATCTACATTTTAGTATAGATGGTATAACTTCATGTTAGCTTCTGGTTTCAGATTTCCTCAGTTAGTAAGAAACTGCCGTTTTCCTTAATGCTTAGTTAATAATCAGAGTTTCAAATAGACTGTTCAAATTGGTTCTGAATTACAGTCGAGTCTGGGAAATTGTTGGTGGATATTTTAGTTCCAGTGTGATGGAAAGGAAGCAATATGATTCAGCCCTTAAATTTTGAACCTCAAATCATATTTCATAGCACAGCAATACATACATTAGATCTATCGAGCTGTGTACTGCTCTTTGAAACTTCACAGAAATCTTTCTGCAAGGTAATTTCTATTACAGGCTTGGTTTACAAAGAATAATTCTAGCTGGGATACTTGATACCATGGTTTACTTGAATAAATATAGATATATATAGATATATAAGGGAGGGAGACTTGGCAGTCAGTTTCCTGGACGTTTTAGGCAGTTAGCTCAATCAAGCAGCTTACAAGTATAACTGTTTTCCTTTGGGTTATGATGATACAATAGTAATGAGAATGATCTGGCTGGCTGCTGACAAGATGAAAATAAAATATTGATTTGCTATTAAAGAGGTCATTGGGAGGGGGAACCCACAACATCCTTGGCAGGTCTTCTGGTTGTGCAGCAGTAGTGTTAGGGTTAACCACAGGCAGTGCCTCTTCCTCAGTACTACCCTGTCTGAGTGCTATTGATTTCTTACTGATTCCTTGTTGGCTGCTAAACAGTGCTTGTGTGGTGTTGCACACTATCTTTTGAAGATAAGTAATTTTTTTTTTATTAGCTTTAGAACTAAGCTTTAACGTTTTGTTGATGAAACATGGCTAAAAGCTTAACTGGTAACTCTTGATTGTTTGCCTTGACAAAATGTTAACTGTGGGCAACATTGCACTAAACTCTGGAATAAAAGCCTGAGGCTTTTCAGAGTCTCTGTTTTAGCATTAGATTTTTGTTGTAGTTTTTAAAATGCTTTGGTTCTGAATTGCACAAGTCCAAAGTTTTTCTCTTTGCCTTTTAATTAGACTCGAGATTTTAATTTTAACTTTGAGGTTGTTTTTTTAGCTCAGATTTGATAAAATGTTGGTTTTTTGCTTGCATAAGAACTTCCTACGTGAACAGATACTAGTGAGCAAGTGCACACTCCTTGGTATGAAACCTAAGCCAGTGATGTGTGGGAAAGTGAAACTAACACATTTGGGTGTTTGGGGTGGTTGTGTTGTTGTTGTTTTGCTGCTTGAATTAGAAAAATGTGGTAGTAAATCAGTGACCTGCACTGTTTTTTGCTAACTTCACTGGTGATAAAGTAAACCGGACATCAGAATTTTTTTTATTACCAGTTCTCCTTTTGATAATGATTCTTTTCATATCACTTTGTCTACTCTTGTATTTCTCCTTACATGCAGAGTTCTGCTTTTATTTATTTCTTTTTTTAGTCCCAAAGAGTTGTCTTATTTTCCACTCCCTTATAATTGGTAACATTTGATCCTCTTAGCATTTTGATTCAAAAGTGCCAAGTAACAAAGACTTCCCAGGTTCTCCTCTATTGTAGTGTCTCAGTGTAATCTCTCAATGCATTAAAAATTTTACTTTGTCAGTATAGTCTCTAGATGGGCAATTAATTATATAAATCAGGGCTAGAAAAGGATCTCTGAGAAACAGTTGTCACTCTTCCAGTCCAAAGTGACTTCTAAAAATTTTCTTCCTGCTTTTGAGGGATGGAGCTGCTTGGTGGGCAGACTGAGGGCAAGTTACCAGTGCTGAATTATACCCCGCAATGCGTGGTGATTCCCTGGGTAACTGGGATGTGACTGGTTGCACCCATGTGGTAACCTGCAGCTCAGATCATTGTATGCAGGCAGTGTCTGCATCCTGAGCCACTCATCCGTTTCTTTTTGGGGTTGTGGCAGCTCGCATGTTTCTGCAGAGTTGTTGTGTGCCAATCCAGAGTCCGCTGAACTCGGAAGAAGGTTTGCTTGTGATAGAGGTTTTAGATGAAGCTTTGTGTAAGCAGAATTATTTTAAATTTACGACGAATACCGTAAAACGTCGTTTTAGTGGAATAAGCACAACAGCATTTCAAAAATTGCTTTTTTTATTCAAAGCTAGTGGATGCTAATTGACTTTTTTTGTGAAGAAAAAAAGAGACCAGAAAAGCCAAAAGCTAATTAGTCTTATAACTTCAATGAGGCAGATAACTATCCTGATTTTTTTAAAACTGTGTAACAGCAGAAACTGTGGCTTTTCTAGTTCCAGAGACTAGCTAGAATTAGAGCAAGTCATGACTCAGTCCTCTGTTTAGTGTCAAAACTGCACTCGTTCAGCTGTACCTCTAGCGGTGGTTACCTAGCACAAAGGATTTCATAGGCCAGTTCCAGTAGAGAATGCTAACTCTGTTTCTGTTTTCTTTTAGGTTATGTTTCACACTATGTGCTGACTGTCTGTACTTAAAGAAGATACTTAAAAACAAACAGACTTTTTTTTCAAATATTTTGATTCCAGTGGAATCTGTGCTTTAGATTTTTGTCCTGTCAGTTAACTCCTGAAGCAATGCCTGTACAAGCTCCACAATGGACGGATTTCCTTTCCTGCCCGATTTGCACACAGACTTTCGATGAAACAATCCGGAAGCCCATCAGCTTGGGTTGTGGCCACACTGTCTGCAAGATGTGCCTCAACAAGCTCCACCGTAAGGCATGCCCTTTTGACCAGACCACTATCAATACAGACATTGAACTTCTTCCTGTGAACTCGGCCTTGCTGCAACTAGTGGGTGCTCAGGTACCAGTGCTTGCTTATTTATTTATTTATTTTCCCTGTTTCTGTGTTGGGTTTTTTGTTTTGTTTTTTTTCTTTAAGTGGACAATTAATGAATAAATAATGACTCTGTTAATGGTGTGTAGAGTACACATCTACCTTTTTGTTGGCTGATGAATACAAGTTTCAGACCTTTGACGTGCTGTTGTAGAGATGCCTGCAACAGCAGTTCAAATCTTGCTTTTGCCTGTCGCTGACTGTGATTTTGTGTTATATTTGATTTAGTGTAACCATGGGCTGTCACCAGAAAGGGCTGATTCTGTTCCTTTCCTTCTTCCCTAACTTGTATTTAGCCATGCTTTCCCAAAAGGATGAACTGGATCAGTGAGCTTATCTGGTGGGAAGCCATTCTTCTTTGTTACTTGCTTTACCGCCTTCACCTTGTGGATTTGTAATCAGTTGTCCTGAAAGCAGGAGGGGAGAGCAAGGGAAGTGGGACAGACCCCTCTGGCAGCAGCCTTTGTACTACCTTGTGTTTAATTTGAAACTGTGCTCTGGAAATTTAATTTCCTGAGCTGACAAGTTAATCTAAATCCTTATAGGTGAATGTGGGGAGCCTGCCCGAGCTTCCCCTTTCTGCTAGAATGGGCACTCCTGAGGTCAGCTGCACTGGTGATCCTATGGGAATGAGTGGCACTGGTTCTGATGGCTGCCTGAAGAAAGAGGCAGAGATGTGTGGAAAGCAGGATTGCCCTGTTCAGTTGGAGCACAGATTTAAAATAACATCAGCTCGTCATGGTTAGACCACTGGTAGTTTACCATACCCCCCAAGGCTGGACAGGATTGTAGGCTTGAGGAGAGGAGGGACAACTGTGCCTAACTTATGGGTGAGGAACAAAATAGTAGACAGGATGCTGTTATAGAGGGGTTATTGTTTTATTCTGCTTCTGTGTCTGGGCTCAGCGGAGTTGGAGGTAGCAGAAAATGCAATTACATCCATAGTTCAGGGAAAGTGGAAGAACTGTGTTGTGGAGGAACTCTAAAAGGTATGGAGGAAAGACAGATGCTCTTATGGTGCTTTTTGCTAGGTACTGGGACTTTGAGATGCAGACGTGGTTTTTCTGCTGCTTTTTTTCATTTGGTTTATCGAGTAATACAGCTAATTTGTTGTTCTTTTGTGGTGTATGGCATAGAAGTTAATTCAGAAGTCTTAAAATTGAATTGTGTCTCTGGCTGTGCTAAGTGACTCATCCTGCTCTGCAGGAGAAGGCAATGAGACTGTTTCAATTTCTGTGAAATGTGTATGCTGCCATCTTTGAAGAGGTCCCAAGCAGTGTGAAAGCTGTGGGTGATGCCATAAATAAATATTGTAATTCTCTTTCTCCCCTATATCTTCTTCCCTCCTCTCTGGAGTTTCTAAAATAGGTCCAGCTCTATACAAATGTCCACACTTATGATAAATGTCATTCAGCACAAGTGTGTGCTTGTTAAGCTTTGTGAGAAGCTGTGTGATAGCTTTAACTCAATCTTTGCCTGAACTAAAATTTCCATGAAAACAAGATCCTCTGGAATGAGATGGAAAATCACCCTGCCTCTGTTACAGGTAATTGAGAATTCTATTCTGGTTTTGCTAGTTAGCCAGCCAGAGTTTCCTCATCCATATGTGCATGAGGTATGAAGGAGAGTACCTTCATGATAGTGTTGTATTTGTCTTGAGAGCGCTCTGATCTCTAGGTTCTGACTTGGAACTGATGACATAATTTTTGTGCTCCTTTTTTATATCTTAAACTTTTGTGATCAAGATTCATTAGATCTTGTTTTATGGTGACCTTAAAGCTGCAAATGCCACCAAAACAGTGTTCCCTTCTCCCTCATTTGCCAGTCATTCCTACATGGATGTGCATTGTGTTACCTAAACAATAATTGGTGATCTTCGCTGGGGTTTTATTACTAACTTTCCCATTAAGAGAAATTCGTACCACCTCCCCCCTGCACGTGATTTCAATGAGCATGTGAACGAAATCAGCATTCAGTGTAACACCCTCTTTTCCCTTGCCTTTCACTTCCTGGCACCAAGTAGTTGTAGTGTTTACCAGACTGCGGAGTACTAGAAAATAAGTAAACTTCTTTGCTG